AGCTGTGGCTGCCCCATCCCTGGGAGTGTCCAAGGCCAGGCTGGAGCAACCTGGGCTGGTGGGAGGTGTCCCTGCCCATGATCTCAATGACCTTTGAGGCTCATTCCAGCTCATTCCATGGTTCCAGGTGTTCAACCATGCAGGGCAGCTTTTGGCAGTGCTGCTCCTCCTGGTCCTTCCCCAGCCCGAGCTCGTTGCTGTTGGTGCAAACTGAGATGTTTATTGATATATTTTCAGCTTTAATGGCTTTTTCTGCCCTTTTTTTTTTTCCTGCAGTGTCCTGACAGGGCACAACCACTACGTGATGTGTGCCCAGTTCCACCCCTCGGAGGACCTGGTGGTGTCTGCCAGCCTGGACCAGACCGTGAGGGTTTGGGATATCTCTGGTGAGCTGCCAGGGGGGCCAAGCCCACCTCAGAGCAAGGGCTGGGAAGGGTCTGGAGAGCCCACCTGCTGAGGAGCAGCTGGGGGGGCTCATCCTGGAGAAAAGGAGGCTGTTTCTTAGTTATTGTCCAGGCCACAAGGTGCTGGAATGAAATATCCCTGGAGGAAAAGCTGGGAATAAGGGCGATGTTAACTGGTGGGGGGCTGGTGGTGTGAGAGCATGGATTGTTCTAGATCCTGTGGCACTTTTGGTTGGACACACTGTGCTCGTGGCACGGGCTCAGGCACTGCCAGCTGTGTCAACAGCCAGGATATCCAGGGGACAGGATATCCTGGATATTTAAAACCTGTCCCCCCTCGGCTCTGCCAGCACGGGGAGCGGAACAGCTCTTCAGCCACCGAGCTTTGCTGCTCCATCCTCCCAAAAACCTCCCTCTCAGCAGAGTTCCAGCTGCCAAATTGGTTTGGAGACGGTACAGGGCTGTTTTTGCCTCGGCTGATCCGTGGTGAGGGGGTTTAGGGACGTGCTGGATTATTGACTCAGCTGTCGCTCCGCTCGGACAACAACTCCGGCGCGTGCAAAAACCGACAGGGAGACCAGGGACGGATTCCAAACGTCATCCCACCCCACAGCTTTTCTCCAGGATGACTTATGTCCTTATCAGGATTCTGCTCTGGCTCCAGCAGTCCCCTGGGAAGAGTTATTTCCCGTTTTGTCTGGTGCTGTCGTGTCCATAATCCTCGTCGTGGAGCTCCGTGTGTGCTGGGCACTGCTGGCAGCAGGGGCAGTTTCTGCAGCAGGTTTTGATGCCCTCAGCTCCAGGAGTTTAAAGGTCACATTCCAAAATCCTCCTCCCTGAAGCGTTGCCCTCAGCAGAGGGGGTGAGGGATGAGGAGAGCTCCTGGTTTTCACCTGTGACAACAGCCCAGGAGAGCGTTTGGGTTGTTAAATTAGAGACGTAAAGGGTGGACTCTGATCCTGGAGGGCTTTTCCAACCTCAGGGGTTCTGTGGTAATAAAATCTTTGCTTCCCCTAATGCTGCCTCCTTTTCCCCTGTGCTCCACAAGGCCTGAGGAAGAAGAACCTGTCCCCTGGAGCCGTGGAGTCGGATGTCAGGGGGATCACGGGCGTGGATTTGTTCGGGACGACGGACGCAGTGGTGAAGCACGTCCTGGAGGTACAGCCCCAGCCTGGGTGGGCAGCACAGCCCCTGCAGAGTCATGGCAGGGAATCTCTGTGATGCTCCAAAAGCCCTGAAAAACCAGAGTTAAAAATATCAGGAAGCCAGAGTTCCAACCAGACTTCTGATGGTACAATAATTAAAATCCTGTGGATTGTGGAATCGGCAAGAGCCGTCTCTCGCTGTGGCAAACCTGCCTCAAGTCTCTGTGGCTTTGT